AATAGATTCTACGGTTCGAAAGAAAATAGAGACAACAAAATCTGAGAAGTTATCTGACAGAGTTTGTTTAAAAAAGTTGTGAAAAATTTTAGAACCTTTCTCTATATTTTTTTGGGCGAACAGTAACCAGTAATTTTGAGAAATTTAAAACATTATAGATAAATTCACACAGGAATTTCATGTGGTTGTGTCTAATTCTGAGAGCTTTGTAGACTTTGGATAAAATTTTAAAACTTTAAAATTTTAAAAAAATTGTAAAATTAATTCAAATTAAACTTAATAGTTGATCGCCTTGGACTCATTGGGGCCAACATTTGGAGAATCTGCTACTTATAAATGTGGCAAAACCAACGAAATAAATAAAATCTGACGTGTAACATATGCAAAATCGAAACAAAATAAATCCAAATTTGCAATTATCTATGTAACCAGGAAAGTATGCGTAGTTTTATTTGTCAATAACAATGCGCAAGTTTACACAATTTACTGAATTAGATGTGAATCGCCTGAAAATTTATCACGTACGAAATTGAAATTCTAAAAACTTTCTAGCTTCAGTGCATATCAGATTAATTTCCAGAAACATTAAAAGAATTGTTTAAGTCAAAAATTGAACGTCATCGTCACATCCTAATCGTATTAAGCTGTCATAATTGGAAAGTTTACACATTTTCCGCTTCAGATTAACTACTAGATACTATTCATTTCAGACTCTCCATCCACCCAAAAGAGCTTTGGATCAAGCAAGTCCGACGTCGAAAAAAGGCGTCCAGGCACGACGTCCAAAAATTATGTTAGCCGAGTCAGCTAAAATAAAATAAGCTGGTGTTAAATAATAGGATAATTCGGCTTCTCGGCTAATATAATTCTTGGACGTCGTGCCTGGACGCCTTTTTTCGACGTCGGACTTGCTTGATCCAAAACTCTTTTGGGTGGATGGAGAGTCTGAAATGAATAGTACATACACTCTAAATAAATTTGATTAAATAAAATAAAAATTAAAAAATATATATTTTTGATAAAATTTACTCAATTTTTAGTAAAATTGCCACCAAAGCAACTATTGAGTAAAATTTACCCTGACTAAGGTTAAATTTACTCAAGGTTGAAAGATTTTTGCTCAACCTTGAGTAAATTTTACCTTTATCAGGGTAAATTTTGCTCAATAGTTGCTTTGGTGGCAATTTTACTCAACTTTGTCTACAGTGTACACCTAAAATATTTTGTAAAATTCAAAATTGAGCGTCATTCTTACATCCTAATTGTATCTGGGAGGAGTCCTGCCCCGTCGTGAAGTCATTGGAGGCGAGGCACTGGTACATCCCCGCGTCGGAGGGCTGGATACGCACCAATTTCAAGACTTCGCGCGGCCCCACTTGGAATCTGGGGGAGGAGCTGGGCCCGTTTGCCAGCTCGGCGAGGGGCACGCCGTCCTTGAGCCAAACGACGGGATGGACCGGCGAACCGGAAACGAGACAACGGAGCGAAGCGGATCGCCCCACGTCCACAATTTGCGTCGGTGGAGATACTTGCACGCGGAGAGGAACTGCAAAGAATTAGTAGAAATTTTGTTAAAAAATTGGTATAAAAAATTATGTAGCATTTTTCAAATTATGTTCGAAAATTAAAAATTTAACTACATAAATATGCGATAAGCCTTTGTGTTTTTTGTTGAAAAGATTTGTTATTGGAAATTTTATAAAATTAGCAAATTTTGAAATTTTAAAAAGGTTATAAAGCCGTTTCAGAAATGTTTGAGCGAATTGACGACGAGTAATTGTTTGCGGTTAATTTTATTTAACTTTGTGTAGTCTGCAAGTCTAAAATGTATTTTTTTACGGTAATGGTTTGTTCAGAAATTTTACAGGTTTGTCCTTTAGGTGATTTGCATTAATAGAGAAGAAAATGCCCCGTGAAGTTGACAAACTTTTCAAATTTACCGTGAGTTTTCTCCTCTTTGGATGCAATTTCAAATATCTCTGCCCAGTTTGAGAATTGGAAGATCGTGCCGCTCGAAAATTTCATATTAACAAAATTTGTGATCGATTGACACTAATTTGTTCAAAACCTGTCCTGAGACCATATGATGGGAGACTTGCATTGTAAGAATATCATTTTTTGTCTCACTTTTCCCTTCACATATGCACCACAAAAGTCGTGTAATCATAAAGTCATAAATTAGGCTAGCAGCACCACCACCTCGAAAACTACTCCTCTTTGTCACCCACTTAGACTTGACGACTTTCTCGCCTTGTGAAATAAGCCAACTTTCACTTTTGACAGGACAGCCAACACGGAAATCCATCAATCAGTCCATTCAGCCAGGCATCCGTCGAGAAACGGAGAAAGTCATGTCGTTCAAAGGAAATCTTGCAGGCAACACAAGTTCGCACAGCCTAAGCCAGGATTTATTGCCGAAACTTGACTAAATATTTGTAAATTGATAAGAAGTTTGTAAATGGTTACGATAAAGCTAACTTTGCATTATCCGATCTGCCAATTCATCACCAAATGGTTGCAGTAATGACAAACCAAATCCAAATTTGTTACCCTCGGTGAATCATATTTGGGGTAAACAACCTAAAAACAGATTTTTGTGAAGTTTAATCGCATAAGATTTTCTCTCTGGGCCAACATTCGAATAAAAATTGTAAATTTTGCCCCAAAACTTAATAATAATTAATTTAATTATAATTAAATAATATGATGGCGTAATTTTATTTACATAACTGTTTTTCTACTTTTGTTCGAAAATCAACAAGAAAATAATAATCCGAGCAAAATAATCATATATTTGTAATGGCGTAAAACGTTACAAAGTCCTAAAACCGGCAATCTCATTCGATTAGAGCAGAGCAAACAGCCAGAGAGAATCTAGGCAAAGTGTAAATTAATCTGAATTTTTCGAATTTTTCTAAAAAGGTGTTGAAATCCAGCTTTTGATAAATTAAGATTTGATTAAGACTGAATTTATTCAGGGTTGATTGATTCCCATTTTAAAATTAGTTGTAAACAGGTTTTTTACCTCAATAATTTTTTACTCTTTTTTATGATCCAATTTATTTCCGCAAAAAAATTCGTCTCACACATTTACTAAATATATGCATAATTAATTTTGAAAAACTACCTAAAAGATTTACATCCTTATCAAATAATAGGAGAATTTTTTTTATAAATGTTTCTGAAAACCTTGAAATATTAAAAAAATTGTAAAAATATTTTGAAATTGTTGTGCTACATGTGTGTGAAAATATAAATATGAGTACGGTAAAATAACTATTAGCTATTTAGGATAAAATTCATTCTCAGGATCAAAACTCCTATCCATCTAAAATTATCAGTTAGGCTTTTAAACTTTAAAAAAAATAATAGCGGCATTTAAAAATTACGACCACAGACAGACAGACAATAATGCCGGCTACATGAGGCCTACTTCCACCCAAATGGAGAAAGTGCAAGGGAGTTTATTTCATTTTGGTGCAAATATCGCACCCTCGGGTCTACTTTCACTTCATCTCGAAACAAATTTATTTATTTCAACAATAAAACGATTTCTGTCCTGCTCCACTTTCACTTTGACTTTCTCTCCCACTTCGAATTCCTCTTCAACTCGGATTGATACCGCTTTTGATTCATTTTCACATCGAAAATTCACTTACAAGTCGAGAAAGGCATTTGTTAAGACTTTTTTTTTAGATTTTGTAATGGATGGGATGTTGTGATTATGAAGTTTGATGAAATGAACAATTTTTTTAAGGATTATTTTTTTCCTAATTTTTTTAAGGAAAGTGACTATGAAGTAATTATACAGAACTTGTAAAATTGCCCACAGTTTAGAAATTCGCCCGAAAATGCAACCAATTTATAATCTGAATAACATTCAGAGACGAAAATTCTGTCAATAGATTTACTTTCACCGATAAGAAAAGTTGCAAAATTACCCGTGACAAAGAAATTTTGCGATTATTACGAACTTAAAACGTAAAAATATAAACTTATCAGCACTTCGTTGATACTTAATTTTCTTAATTTTCTCAAATTATTTTATTTGTAGTTAAAATTTCCTGAGATGTATGCATTTTTTAACATTCGAATAATTTACGAGTTTTTAGTGCAAGCAAATCAAAAATTCGAAAATTAATAAACGGGTAAAATTGAAAACGGGTAAAACAATTTCACTCTCTCAGCAATAAATTGACAGTGTTTCTGCTGTTAAATAACACCTGCACGAAAATAGTGCACGAAAATGTTTTTAAAGGTTTAATAACACCCAATAAAAATCCAAAAAAGTGCATGAAAATGCACGAAAATAATTTACGTGCAAATAATATTGGAATAATGCAATTTTTCTAAAGATTCGATTAAGGAGGAATCGATGTGTATTTAAGATATTTTCCTCATCATTTTAGTATTTTACTGTAAAAATATTTTTCATTTTTCAATCCGAAAAATGAATTAAAGTTTTGAAAATGAAAATGAATGAACATGACGATTTTTATGTACGGTTGAATACGGGCTTGCAAAACAAATACTTGTAATTTGTTTGAAATTTTGTTGCCGAATAATAATTTCATGTTATTCGATATGTGTACAAATTCCAATTTGACAGAGTAGGAAAATATAAAATTTCCTTAAAATATGAAATTCCTTGCATAAGTTGCATTTTATGTATTATTATGCATTTTCATGCATTTTCATGCATTTTCGTGCATTTTTATGCGTTTATATGCATTTTTATGCATTTTTATGCACCGTGCACACTCTTAGAAACTGGGTATTGATATTTGAAAAATTTTAATACCGTCGTGCTGGTATTATCACGCAGGCATGATTCGGTATTAAAATCTTGCGAAAAATCAATACCACGAGCTTGTACGTGGAGAGTATTAACTTGTAATACCGAGTTGGTACAACATCAATACTGACCTGTACCAATTTTATACCACGTTTACGCAGTCTCAAATCTGTCCGTTATAGACTTTAGACTTGTGCGCGAGATTTGCAAACTAGTCACTTGCAGTTGCAAATCGTTCTCTTTTTAAAAATAAGTTCTTCTAAATTAGTTCTGCTGGGGAATTATTTGAGGGGAAAAAATTGAGTACTTCCGATAGAAACTTTGACACGTTGTTACTAGAAGGTAAGCTTAAATTTATTTGTCATTTCGTTTTATCTTTTGCTACATATTATATTAATGAATAAGAATTTTAAATCACCAATTTTGCTTTATTTCCTGCTTTATATTAATTAATTTAATTCTTTTATATTTAGGTGGTTCATTGACTTAGCCAATTCCTTGTTCCGGTCGCGAATATAGGATTCAGGATAATTTTAGGCTGTGAACACATTTACAAATATGTAGGTACAACAATTTAAACTAAAATAGACGTGTGTAGATATTCTAGAAATACAAATTTCAGCTAATTGACAACTTGCTTTTTACTTGTTTCAGTGGCAGATTTCCTATCCAATCAGGAGGTAAGATAATTTTAATTCGAAAAAATTGATGTAAAATAAATATCGCAAAATGTGACTTGTTTACAATTTATTTTTTTAATTACTTGTCCTTGTAGATCCAGTCAGCTTAACTCTTCTACATTATTGTGTGTAAGCTATTTTTATAATTAAGTTATTACACTATATTGAATCTGGTTAATTTCCATTTTATGTAAATATTTATTTATGTATGTCATTTATAATTTTCTTACTTGTAGATTACAAGCTGTAATTGTATCAAATAAATAACGTTTAGATCAATACCAAGCCGTACTAAACCGTTATTTTTCTTAACGTATGGTATCACTCGTTAATACCGCATTTACTCATTTAATACCGCATCGTCTTAGATTCCTACCCCACGGTATTAATGAACAATACCATCATGCAAAAAAATCAATACCGCAAGTCACAATTTTATACGAGGACGGTATAAATACAAAATAATACCGCTTGGTATTAAATCAATACCAAAACGGTAGAGTCACATATGAATACCGCCTGGTATTGATCTGGTATTGATTTTTCTAAGAGTGCATGCATAAAAATAATTTCGTGCGCACAAAAAGAAACACTGTAAATTGAAGACAGATCTTTTGGATTATTATGATACACAATTTTCAAAAATTTTGATAAGCAACGTCTAATTTCGACTACAAAAAATTACCTTAAAATTTCAAAATTGTTTGAAAGATTTGAAATTGTAAATTTTGATAAATTTTATCTAACCCGATATAATTATTATTCAAAAGTTTGAAAAACTTGCAGTCGTTGATAAAGGCAAATTGCCCAATACTAAATATGAAGTTCTCACTTCAAGTTATTTTCCACAATTAATATTTTCTAATACTTAAAAAAATATTCAATGTGCAGTAACGTTTCAGCACGCTAATTGGATTCGTTTTCGTTTTTATGTGTAAAAGCTCGTTGGACAGTATTCGAAAATCCGTTTTTAACGAGAGCAAAACAAAATGCGAAGTGATTTGCAAAAATGTGTCCATTATGAAAATTTCATGAAAATTTATGACTCTGGAGCATTCAGTATTTATTTTTAAAATTCATAATAATTTGCAGAAATTTGTCCAATATGAAACTTTCATGCAAATTTATCTTTCATAATTTTGATTTTCTTACCGTAAACGACGAGTTGAATGACGGCTTGGTCGACGGAGTGGGAATTGTTAGCGCGGCAGAGGTAGGAGCCCGCGTCCTGGGGCCGCACTTGCGCCACGTGGACCACGCTATTCGGTGGCGAGGACGGCGGCCTTTTCGACGTGGGAGGAAGGTCGGATAAAACACCCTCAATTTCTCGGTACCACCTGAAATTTGGGAATAAATAAGAGAAATTTGTCTTAATTTAAAGATAAAATTCTGTAGAAATTGTTACATGTTTCGACTGAATTTTGAAAAATATGATGGAAATTTATCATCTCTATACAATTTTGTTAAAAGGCCCGATTTAATCTGAATATTTGAGTAAAGCATATTTTATTTTGAGTTACAACGTTATTGTTTCTTAAAATAAGTTCAAAATCACTCCATTATCATGGAATTTACTAAATACTTATCTATCAGAAGGGATGTTAAAAATATAACTCAATTTTTTTCAGGAAATTACTTATTATTTAATGAATTTTTCATGTGTTAACTTCTGGACAAGGAAGGATTTAAAATTTTGAGAAATAAGCAGCAATGTTATTTGTTACAGTAACTATGAAATCGCTAATTTTTAAATTTAATTAAGCTGTTTTCGGCGTAAGGACCTGCTTCTTTTGAAACTTGAGTTTCTCAACTAACAACTCGTAGATAGTTAGTATTGTTGTATTTTCGTCAAAAATTTGAAAATACACGGATCATATTATGGATATTTTTATCATGCAACATATTAAAGTGCATTATTATTTTGCAAACTTCACAGTCATTAAGACTTAATTTAGAAAATTAAATTATTAAATTGTTTTAAAAAAAGATGCGTTTCCTGGTTGCATTGGGATGGGTTAAATCTAATTGAAAAATAGTTACAAGCATACATGTTCAAAAAATATTTATTCATTCAAAGCCTTGAAAAAAATATTCATTCATAATTTGTAAAAAAATAGTCATTTATTAATAAACATTTATTGGTTATTCACCATTCCTTCATTATTCATTTTATTCAAAATTCAAGTATTAGATGAATTTCTCAACTTTCCCTATGTAATAAGCATTGAGTAAAAAATGAATGATGAAAAAAATATTCATTCATTATTCATTCACACGAATTGAATAGATATTCACTCAATATTCATTTATTCAAAAATTAGAATAAAATATTCATTCAATATTCATTCAAATTTTGAATATTGAATGAATTGATTGAGTGAACATGCATGGTTACAAGTACTTAAAAAAGTGCAACTTTATCTAATACAAGCAATATACCTATGTAGGATTTACACATCCGGTAGTTTTCATTTTTCCCTTTAGGATTTCTATCCGAGAAATCATTTCTTTGTGTAGTTAAATCTATTCCTCATCACATAGGTATTACTCAAAAATTAATGCAAGGAGATTGCAGACTTGCAAATTTCAAAGATATTAATGAATGTCAATTAATTCAGAATAAATAAACATAATGCATGTTTTTTGGTATTTTCATTTTATTTGTATTCTGAAAGAGGTTTCAAATAAATAATGCATAAAATAAATTTTTACACATGGGCATAAATTTTCAACGGAAGTAAACAATTAGCCAAAAAATATTGTTATATAAGTTTTATTTGTTTCGAATTCAACTTACATAATTTTATTATCATGATATTTAACATAAATCGTAAAGATAAAGTAAGAATTGGAGTTAATTGTGGAGCGTAACGCCGTTAATACGTATGTGTACTTTTCGTTAATTTAAAACATGAAAAAGATTTCTTCAGAGCCTATTCATTACAAAAGTTTGCTTGTAAACGCGAAAAAATTTGCAGTTTTTAAAATATATAAAAATATAATATGTACGTGCTGTTTGTATTTTCATTTCATTTGTATTCTGAAAGAGATCTCAAACAAATCATATGTAAAATAAATTTTGCACGTGACATAAATTTTAAACGGAAATAATTTTGTGTCACAAAAATTGTTGTAAAAGTTTAATTTCTCATGAATTTAAGCTAATTTTATCATTTTAATGTTCTGCATAAATAGTGAAGATCAAGTAAAATTGTGCCGTATTTGTGGAGCGTAACGCCGTAAATACAAATCTGTACTATTTTTCGTTTAGAACTAGTAAAAGATTGGATTTTGGTTATCTGGAATTCATTTCGAGTAAACGCAAAAATTTGTGATTTTTCAAATTTAAACTAAAAAGATGATGCAAGATTTTTTGTACTTGTATCATTTGAAAACTCCAAAAGGTTTGCAGTTTGTTGCTTTTCAAAATAAATGATACACAATTATGAAAAATAGGATTTAAAAATTGTGCAAATTTAATTTACAGGATTGGAATGCGTATTTAGTTCTTTTTTTTACTTTAATGCTTAACTTGAAACAGAATGATTTTATTATAGAAATATGTAATAATTATAATTAGCCTAATTAATAAGCTATTATTAAATGGGAGTTTCTTACGAAAAAGACGGTGGCGGGTTTCCCTCCGCGTGACAGGACAGGTACGTTTCCTCACCGGCGCGAACGCGTAAACTTGTCTCCCTTTCCCCCAATATTCGCACCGCTTGTGGTCCCTCAGTAGGTTCTGGAAAAAGTAACAAAAAAACGGATTTTGTATATAAGATTAAAGCGTAATAATTCACCACTGGAAAATAAATAATATTTATTTAAATACTAGCATATAAGCCCGTCTCCCGCCGGGCGAGAGCCTCTTTGATTTGATTTTCGTGAAAATTAAGTCGGATTTTTCATAATTCCAACAAATTATTTTTTTATTATATTCATTTATATAATTAGCTGGAAATGCTTGTTGGCGAGGAAGTGAAACTTTTTCCAGTTTTACTTCCGTCACGGAAAATTACTTTCACTTCCGTTGCAGACAAACATTTCCAGCTTATAATATAGATGATGATTTAATTCGGGGAAACTTTGAACACCGCTCGTTCGAAATTAATTAATAATTCCAAGTTTCCCCGATTTTTATTTTTACAAAGTACAGATTTATTTATTCAATCAGTTGGCGTGGTTCTTCCTGCATGTGAGGTTAAACCACTACCAAAGTTTTTCGTGAAGTACTAGTTAAGGGGTAATAACTCCGTCATAGATTTTTCATCTCCATCTACCCCTGTTCAGTATGAATTTTTAATGTATATTTCTAAAATGGTGTAAATTTCATGAGATTTTAAATAAATGCAACTTTTATGCTTTAATACAAAAGGCGATCAGACTACTTTTGACGAATTCAAACCTTAATTACGGAATGGTTTTTAGTTGTAGAGATTTCTAGCATTTTTTATGTGAAAGCCCATGTCTCAAACTATAGGTTAGCATATCTGGCTTCCGGTTTTGTGTACTCTGCGAAATGAGGCGAGGTCAAATTTGGAGAGGTGTCCTTTTTTAGTTTTCCAAACCAGTACTCTTACAAAATGGCGTTGAAGAAAATATTTTTTTCTTAGGTCCTGATGCAAAAATGGTCTTTGCGACTATTATTAAGGGACTCAGCATGCTTTTCACTATATAAAACAATTTTTGTCTCATGCTTATCTTTTAAGTCCATTTTGTAGTCTAATTTTAAACTTGTCCTAATGGAATGCGCTCGTGACCGCAACTTATCCAGTTTAAAGGCCCCCACATTTTACGACTTTGATTTTAAAAATCCCTAACGTTGTTTTTATTCAACGTATATATAGTATATTGCACTGTAAGTACTTTTGACAAAATTTTGATAAGTGGTTACACCCCACGGACTGAGTTTTCATCAAACCCTATAAAATGTTTATAAAACTTCTCCTGGAAATTGAAACGGAACTTTAAAAATTTTTTAACTAATCAAAACGCGGTGATTTTATTATTTTGCCACTTGTACCTTGTAGGTAAAATAGTTTTGCCACAGGGGACATAAAAAAGTTATACAAATTTATTTTCAACAAGATTTGACCATTAATTTTAAAAATAAGTTCACGAGTTTTTTAGGATTCGGCGTCAGCTGATTAGCTCGGGTCCTTCTCCAAAACTGGCTACCCAAAATCCTACCTGTTCTATTTAATATTACGTAGGACACTTTCAGCTTTACCCTCAATCTTCATTTGACCCAGTGGGTCCGATTTCAAGGTCAGCAGGTCAA